CCCGATGTGGGCCCGATCCCCGAAGTCAGGTCGGGCTCAAGATTTTGTCGAGCCCAAGCCCGCCGCGACCGGACCCAAGCCCGGGCTTTCAAGCCCCACCTGACCCGGCCATCACTAGCCTAGACAGTGGGCGGGACTGCGCGCAGACATGCGAGGCACTGCGTGTCGCTCGTATGTGGTGTGGCAACGGGCGGGGATGAATAGGGGCATTGTGTACTGGACTCGGAGCGCGGCGGTCAGCGGCGGGTCAAAGCGACGAAGTGCGAGGATGGCGGGTCTTGCAAACATTAGTTGAGCTGAGACTCAAATTCAGAAATTTTCACGTTGGCAGTATCCTCCTCTGGTCCCCATTTTCCCGCATTTCCCTTGAAGTTGCACTCATATTCGGCCTTAGTGTATTTTCTGCTCTGAACAGCCGTTACCGTAAAGTCAGACCGTAATTCGGCCTTTGTTTCAGAATTTTCATGCGGGCCTGGGCTTCACACTTGGAAATACTTGGTGTTGGAATTCACCGCCCTTCGCTGCGCTCCTAAACAGTTGGTATTTTGAATTTAATTCATCGTTCTTCCCAGCGCTCATAAAGACTTGGTAGTGAGGAATGGTAGCTGAATAGAGTATGAGGCTACTACTCGGTAGTAGAGTATGTCATGTCAGATGTCGCGGGATTGAGCTGAGATTAGTCTCGAGGGTGAAATAATTTGTGCATGTGGAGTAGGCATTACTGAAGGAGTAGTCTGAGATAGAGATGGAGGAGTAGCTGTTGAATGCTCGCTGAAATAAAACGAGATTGCTGAATGATGGAGTCGCGGTGGCGATAGTGCAGGAGAGGAATGGTGGGGTGTGAGAGGTGGTGAGACACATTCCTTGATGATAAATGAGCAGCAGGAGGTGAGCGACCGAGGCAGAGTAGTACCATCAAATGACGTGGACTGTGACCGGAGGCAAGCCAAGTTATTGTGATGATAAGTGCAACATTCTTGAAGCTGACAACACTCGGTATAAGGACTGTGGACTCTCATACTCACACCTAGTTCAGGATGATGGGGACGGGCGTCAAGCCGGTGATATGATGGTACTCGGGGTGTGGTGGAACAATAACTATGAAGCCGAGATAGAGGTCAAAACCAATATAACTAACTAAACAATCAATCAAACAACAACTCCTCCTCTTTATGAGTAATGATAATCACGGGTGTTCGGGGGTAAAGACCAAGTATTAGGTCAATAGATCGTTTACTGTTCAGAGAACAGGGGAGTGGGATAGACAAGGGTTGTGAAACCAAAGTCGAGCAATACGCGCTATGTTCGAGACTTCGTACAAGCGGTGGGTTCGTGGGTTTTTAAGGCAATAACGGCCAGTAGCCGGCAAGTTTATGTCAATTAAGACGGGTTTGTTGGATTTCTCCAGGTTTGGGACATGATACACTCCTGCAGGACCGCAGTATATAACACAACACAGAACACAAATCACAGAACACAAAACACACACACAACACACACACAATATGACCCGCAGTGCTGGACAGAGTCCACACAATTCACAATTCAGTCACACAGTCAATCACAGATACAATCCAATCCAATCCAATCGTTGCCAAAGGTACAGTACTCGGTTTGAGATAACGGTCACTTGGGTCTTAGAGCTAAACGACAACTCCGAGCCACAACGCCGATGCGTATGTGAACAAGGTAAACCGAGTGATGTCACTGCACCGTTGTGCGCGAAACCCCAAGGCAGTCTGCTCTAGAAGAGTCAAAGACTAATCCTAGCCACAGCACCGATGTGCCTGTGAACAAGGTAAACCAAACAATGTTATGCACACGAGTTGTGCACAAAACCGCCGGGCAGTCTGCTCCAGAACCTCTCTAAACTACGTGCTTTTATACTACTGGGATCTCGGCTTTACAACACATCTATTGCTACATCTCGGAAAGCACTCCGTCCCGGCGTGGAGCTGTGGGATGATCTTAGGGAATCCCCTGACTCCTATTGGCCACGCGCCGGCTCTATGAGTCAGAGCTCTCCTTGGTACTCGATCGGTTTGAGAGTTATTGGTTAATCGAACGGAAGCTTCCGAGTTGTCGTCTTCTTTGTCTAGTGCTCGTCCCGAGCGTCAGTCTTCCTCGTCTATGATATGGCTACCTGTGGACACCTTCCCCGTGTCTGTAGCTAGTCTGGTTGTTGTGATAGACCAAAGTTCCACTTGTCTCGGTAAGTGCCGGTGCCATCGTGATTTGATGTTTAACCGGCACAGCTATTCTGATGCGTAGGCACGCTCGGCCGTCGGCAACTCACTTTGTACGTGTCTATTTACAGAAGTCTCGCCCCATCCAAGGGTCTGGACCCGTCATGTGCCTTGTCGCGCTGTTCTCGATAAGAGACACAATGGTAAACAATCTCGAAGTCGGCCGTTTTGGAAGGCCCCAGTCGCCTGCATGTGATGTCATGTATTCCTTCCCATCTCCTTGATACTAGTCTAGCACTCAGCTCATCCGCATGCACATGGGTACTGATATAAGGTAGTTAGTCCTGTTCTCGGTAAGTCGTACTTTGGCCCCAAGTCGAGGTACCGCCATAGGATCATGCCAATAGAGAACCTAAGCTATGTGACTGTTAAGCTACTCGTTCGGAGCTCCCGATAGCTTCTTATAGAATAGAGAGAGCGTGCTTGATAAGTATAAAGACGCGAAATGCGAAAATACACCTGTGGTTTGTACACGGCTTATCACCGGGACTCATGAATAGATGGAGCGAATCGGTAGCAGGACTTTGCGAGCCAAAGAGTGATATGACTGCTCTTCTGCTTAGCCAAAAAACCACAGAGATTCAGAGAAGGAGAGGGAACAAAGATGAGTGAAGAAAAAGGGTCAACGGAGCTCTCCATGTTGTCCTGAAATTCTGAAAAAATTTGCAGGAAATGAGCTACCCTTCAGAGGCCAAATATGAGTTTAAAATTGGACCACTGAGTCCACAAGGGAGCCAGGTGAAGGAAAAAGAGTGGACCCACTGGGAATTGAACCCAGCACACCTCTCCTGACCCCCAATCCGAGTGCCGTCCTCCCCACACGCAACCATGTCTCTCCGGGTCAGGGCCGGGGACCCAACCAGCGCGGGGGTCTCTCAACTGTATCTGAGCGCAGCGATCAAAGTGGGGTCTCTCAACCGTGTCTGAGCGCAGCGATCAGCGTGGGGGTCTCTCCACTGTCTCCAAGCGCAGCAATCAGTATGAATATTAATGTATTCAACCATATCTAATGGTGGTCTTGCCCGAAATACATCGCTTTGACCGGCATGACCATCCTGGCGCATGACCTCGACGTCATCGCACCGCCACTGATGTTCTCCTCGCCCTTCTCGCCGTCGTCTGTCTCAATGATCTCGAGGCCCTTGACGTCGCCACTGCGCTATCATCCCGCCCGCCATCATCCCGCCCCGCCCACCATCCCGCACCCACCACCACCATCACCGTCGCCAAGACCAAATCACCTCCGCCATCGACTCCTCATACCACGACTCCAGCACATCCCAATACATCCACCGCGCTTGCCCGCCGCTGCCGCCGCCACACGCCATCAACACCGCCACCCCGCCTCAATGCCATGCCCTTCCGGTGATTCCAGCACATCCCAATATGTCTGCCCCGCCCGCCGCCGCCACAGGCCATCAACACCGCCACCCCGCCTCAATGTCATACCCTACCGGCTGATTCCAGCACATCCCAATATGTCTGCCCCGCCCGCCGCCGCCGCACGCCATCAACACCGCCACCCCACCTTAATGCCATACCCTTCCGGCGATTCCAGCACATCCCAATATGTCTGCCCCGGCCGCCCGCCGCCGCCGCACACCATCTCAATTCAGCCGACACAATCCTCCAGGACTTTCCTGGGGACTTGCTTGCAGTCCTATTACAATACCCACACTGTATCCCCAGATCTGTCCTGGCTCAGCCATGCCCCTTGCACACTGCCCTCGCGCAATTCGGTCGCTATTGTCTCGTGACTCGTCTCCTGTCTCACATCTACCGCACACCACCTCCCACACGGGTATATACGAGAAACGAAAACGGTTTCCATTTACATAGATGTTCCGGATGATGGCCGCGCATCGGCCGGTAACTGTGCCGTGAGTGCTAAGCGGTCACACCCCGACGTCGGCGACTCGGCGGTACGTTTCCGTCCCAATTGGGATTTGATCCTTGGTCACGGGAGCGGAACCGTGGTTCCGCTTTGTCTCGACCCTCAGAGTGGGACTCTGGAGGGTGTTGGTGTAAGATCTCAAATAAATTTTCATTCTATGCTTGTGAATCTCGCTGCTGATAGCTTTCCCAGCACTGGAAGAGCCAGAAACTACCGACTTTCTGTCAGATGGACAATCAGACACCGAATCATCTCCTGAATAATTGAAGCACACCCAGAATGGCTCAACTTGGAAAGCTCAACTCGGAAGGCCGGATCAATTAGCGGGTGTAGGTTGTATTACATTAGGCCCCCAGACTGACTGAATTGCAAGCTACACAGTTCTTACGGTGGGTGTCGTCGGCGTCAGAGGTACGGCAGGGTACGGCACGGCGGGGCACTGCCTTATGATTGGCGGTGTGTGACGCCTGGTGCTGTGATCGCCGCGCAGCCGTTTGATGGCAACGAAAACCGTTTTCGATTCTCGTTAGTACCGCTCCCACACCCTTTTCGGGGAATTACATGCACCCATCGATGCCACATCGATGACACAGGCTTTAACTTTAGTCACTGCATCAAGCACCCCAGTTCCTGAAACCTGGGCACGACGAATATTCACGACATTTTGATCAAGTTGGAATATTCCGGGCCCCTCAGCCTTTCTTGCGACGATACCGCACTCGAGCCGGCAATCTCCGTCTTTCAAGAGACGAAGACGACTTGCCTCGTTCTTGGCGGCATTGACTGTGAGTCTTTCTTTCTCAGTCCTCATCATAAGAGTGTGTCTGATGTCTGACTCGGGGACGTAGATAAGAAAAAGATGGACGAGTGGAGAGTCGAACTCCAGCCCTCTCGCAAAATCCGGAAGTGCGAAGCGAGCGCAATAACCAACTATACTACACACCCGATGACAAGTGTTTAAGAATGAGAGTCATCAGGGGCGGAGGCAGGCCTCCGAGAAATACTTTTGTATTCCCGTCCCCACCATTCTCTCATCATGGAGAAGCGAGGGGAAGCGAGGGAAGCGAATTACCCCGCTTCTCATCCCCGGGTTGCTCCGAGCGGTATAAATGCAGCGAGTGTGACATGTGTGACTTGTCCGCTTCTTGGTGCCGACCACGACAGCTTTCTTGGTATTTCTTTCTTGATATCTTGCATGAACTTCAAAAGGAACATCCTCGGCGGCGCCCAGGCCAACCCGATTTCAGACGAGGGAACTACCATCCCCAGAGGGTATAACACGGCGCCGTCGTACGTCTCGAGCCTCCAGTAATTCCGTTGCCTCTAACGGTTTCTCGCAGGAGTGGGAGCGGCCAAGTTGCGGTCAACCGGATGCAGGCAGAAATAAAGCGCATAAATTCCCGCATCGTTACGTAAGACGCGCTGCCACAATCCCACGTGATTTAAGCCCTGACAGAGGCGGGGGCCGGGCTCGTCATGGCTCGGGGGCGGCCTCCGCCGCTGTTTAGGGCTGATCCACTCCTAAGGCCCTCCGGGCACCCCTGGTACCTCTTAGCCACCTCAAATTCAAATTATGACTCGGAGCCTGCACTTGTTGGACACAAAAAAGGGATCAATTTATAACGTGCGCTCCGCGCGCTCCAACAAAAAACAGTGGTGCCCACATTGTAGATCCCGAGTTACCACGACCGATATTTCTGAGGTGCCAGAAAAGGGACCGCAGTCGCGGAAATAGCCGCACGATCCAGGAAAACATTAGCGCTTTTTGGGGCGCCAGGAAAGGAAGTGGGTCTAAACCGGTCTCGGAAGTTGCCGCACGATCGAGGAGAACATTAGCGCTTTCAAAGGCGCCAGGAAAGGAAAGGGTCTGGACCAAAGCCCAGGGATCTCCCGAGGATCACAGGACCTCATATCACCTGCAGATCCCGGTTTTGAATTTTTGGAGAGAGACCTGGTCCCTAAATCAGTACCAGGAACTTTACTTCGTTCTCGATAGAGGACCTACTATATTCGACATTTCCCGGTTAATCACCATGATTCGATGAACTGACGTGACACCCTACGGAGCCAGCCCCGATCTACACCATGTTGCATGCGGAATTACAAGGAGTTGCCTTCTACATCAAGAGTAATGGTAACACAGCAAGGGGACTGACTACGCAGTGCCATTGTTCGCAGTATTGGAGACTATATGAAGGAGACATAGTAAATGTTCATATTTTGGAATTGAAATTGCCCTCCACCTGGTATACATACTTAATCCCACTCCTCGTCCGAGCCTGATTCATCCTCATGCTGGCCTTGGGGAACACTTTGCTGATACCGTCGTGAAAATGTGACATTGTCGCCGCTCATCTCAAACCCGCGTTCCCACGCATCCAGATACCTGCCTCTGGACTCGTCCACCATTGTGTAAGTGCCTTGCTCCTTGAGCCGATTCCTAGACCTGTGATCCATCCACCGCAGTTTGAGCTCCCTCACCCCAGGTACATACCGGATGAAGAGCAATGCGGTCTGGACGGTACTGTCACCGAGGATATATCCCTTCTCCAGCGAAAATGTGCGGAGTTGGAGGAGATCGCGCAGGGCTTTCGCGGAAGGTCTTATATCATACTTGTCGGCTTCAATTTCAATTGATTAAAGACAAATAATCCGCGCACCAATGGAATTTCGGCGTACTCGACAAAGGTCAGGTGCAGATGGACAAGTCCGGGACAGGAGGAGGCCAGCGCTTGCAGTTCTGCCCGCAAGACTCGGTCGTTGAGGCGCAGGTATAGTGTCGTCAGTGAACCAAACCTCCGGAGTGATGTCAGGAAGGTCTCCAATACACTGCGCGGGACAGGTGCAGAGGCCAGATCCAGGATTTGGTTCATTCCCGGACTCGGCAGCTGCTCCAGGTGAAAATAGGCCCCGGTGAATGAGAATAGCACCGGGAGAGCTGTTGGCGCAAAGAGTGTGTGTTGAGGGGCTCTATTCCAGGTGCGCGGGTGGATCGCGAGGTGCTTAATGGTATTGTGGGCCAAGACGAAGGCCCGCAGAGCCTCTAGACGATGCTCGACTTCGTATTGCATGAGGGTCAATGTGAGCGAGCGCAGACGCGGCCAGTATCCATTTGTCAAATCTCGAATTGGGACGTACTGGACCGACGCGTCCGAGGAGCTCAAGTTCAGTATTTCGAGATCAGGACAACGAGCAAGCATATTCCAAAGTTCCACCGGGAATGTCCATCCCTTGCCACCTGGAACCAAATATTGGAAGTTATAACACCGGAAATGGCTAAGATCTTTACGTACTAGGTGGCCTGTCAATATCTGGTTGAAAGCGGAGGGAAAATTCCGAAAGATTTTGGAATTCGAAGAGCTGGATATATATGTTTAGATATCCAGCGCGAGCGTGCTAATTGAGATGAGAGAACTTGACTACGAGGAGGAAACTCCCGGAACCCAGTAGTGCATCGAATCCCCTTGAGCTGAAAACACCTAAGGGCGACATCAATTGGGGCATGAACACAACCTAGAATACCACGCACGAATATCTTAGGGCCATCCACAAGTGGTCTCCCGCCAATTCAGCCCCGTCCCACTCGAAGGTCTGCAGTGACTTCAGGTTCTTGCAACTATCGGTAAGTTCATCTACCACCCAGGTCTCGTCGATGGTAGTGTCCGCCTCGGGCCAGGACGAGCGGCAGTTTGGCCGCACCACGAGCTCCCGGACGCACTCACAGACGTCGGGGTGCCGTCTGAACATCGGGAGCGCAGAAGAGCAAGCTTCGCTAGATCCGAGGAGCATCGAGCGATAGAGCCTCGGAATCAGAAGACTGCGCATTTCCTGAGACTATAAACAAGGCGTCTCAGTGCGTAATGTGAAGTAGATGGCTCCAATTTATAACGCACGGTGAGGCTCAGATTGAGGACATCAGCCGAGCGGGTGCACTCCGTGATATCGAGTATGATTTCGTAGGGAAGAGAGGATAGCATCGGAAGAAGGGGAGCCTCCATCGACAAATATCGTCCACAGCACCACCGACGCCGAGAGCAAGAGATAGCCGGCTGACCCGGGCCGGGGCATCAGTCATTCAAAGTTCACACGCGGCTTTTGGCGGCTTGATAGGTCGACGAATGGGTGTCGGATTTTGGGGACCTGGAGGCTAATTGAATCAGCATGCTGCACAAAGCTGAGGGGTTCAACAGACATTCGATTAGTATGTTCCTGGCACAGGTTACTTGTGGGATCAATAGGAGGTGGACAGCACGAATATTCGAAGTATCAGTGGCTGGCCCACCGTCTCTGCACTGGTAGGCACTGCTTCTATGAATGGAGCTGAAGGATGATTTATTATTGAAAGAATGGACAGATGTGTTAGTTACGTAAGATAGCTGCTAGGAGGAACCTTAGTCGTCCCTATCATTTGGCTCTGTTTGGCTACAACGCCGACATGTGATCAAGTCGCGTACGCGTCCAAAGCCACCACCAGGCCATTTTGGGCATTGTCCGACGCGCCATTTACCATTATGCAGCCATTTCGGTGGCACAGCTGCCATTTCCTCTGTTACTCCTCCATCACTGCTCTCCAATATGTCCCGCAAACACCCCGCTGCCGTCCTGACTGCTAACCAACTAAAACTGCATATCGCGCACGCTCTCGGCCCTCCGCCGGAAAGAGAAAAATATGATTCTGCCATAATTACGCTGGAAATGTCCGAATCCGATGCCGAACCCTGGTTGCATGTCCGCCAATCCGCAGATAAATGGATTACCAAACGGTCTCGGGATGAGGAGATGAATAAGTCAAGGAAGAAGACAACTGCCACGCGTAAGTAAACTAAGCCCAGTGGCCCTTCGATGTTCTGACGAGCCTTTGCCCAATATAGAGCCCTATACTGATGCTACCAGGCGCGGCCCAAAGCGTCAATTTGACTGGACCGAGAAATGGCTTTGCGGCCATTCTGGGAAGTACCGCGACGAGCGGGATACCGATCTCTCCCCTCGTAAACGTCGCCCGAATCGGCATCATCCTTCCGTGAAGGTTAACTGTGGCGCATATTTCTTCCTACGAAAGGTCTGCGGGGAGGACCGAGTTAAAATTGAATACTGCTGGGCACACGACGGCCACGAACCGGGAACTGTCAAAGATATGGCCGGATCTATGCTCCCTCTCCGCGTGAAGGAGTGGATTGAAAGCCGTGTCGCCGAAGGGCTTGACTGGAAGGCGATCAAGCCTTTGCTTCGTCTCCAAGGCCGGCGCGCTCATCTCTGATTCATAACCCGTCTTCGTAGAGATCTTTCCGCAGCTGTTTCCAACCGTCCCATGTATGCCACGCAGCTAAAATAACTCAGAATTAATACTACTGGATATAAACTAATAAAACCTCGCGTATTATGGCTCAATAATACTCTAAACCTTCTACGCGACGCGACGCGACAAGATCACATGTTGCTATTGCAGCCAAACAAGGCCAAATGATAGGGACGATTAAGGCCTTTCAGCTGCTAGTATGGCATTGAACATCGGCGGCTTGCGGCGATGAGTGCTAGTTATGAATGGAATTTGATCATCGCCTGCAAAATTTACATTGGCTAACAAGTCGAGTAGGCAATCATTCTTGTCGGAGCTCAGCGGATATTGTGAGTTGAAATGTTCACCATGATCCTCGCTGTTATCGGACAAATCAGATCCATCTCGTCCAATTATCCCATTGATTCCCTATTCTGAATGAATCCGGCAGCTATTTGAGCCTGGATGATTTCCTCGGAGTTCCTCCAGATGACTGATGTCCGGGTCGTTATCAGCACCGCTATAACCCCATCAAAATAGGCTCTTGAAAGCTACCAGACGTTGAGGTCGTGTCGCGCTTAGGCGTTCTCCAAGGGAGGGCTATGCAATATACATACAGAACACAATGCTGATTCCATTATGCATCGGATGTTTACTTGACGTCCAGCAT